GGGCAGGGTGGGGGCGGGGAGGCCTGGAGCCGCGTCCGGATAGTAAATGAGCCATTAGGGACTCCCGCAAACGGCCCCGCCAAGAGCTCGGGAAAAGGGCAGTTTTCCCACTCGGAGAGTGCGGGCGGTTTCAGGGAAGTGAAACGAAGACAACTTCGGGGACGGGAGGGAAGGTGCCGGAGCCGCGCGAGTAAAATAAAGCACCGCCCGAAACTGCTGGGAGGTTCACTGCAAAGGGAACCCGGGAGCGAGCCAGCAACACCGTCTTGAGTTGGAAGCGTGTGTGCGCGCGCGCGCGTGTGTGCGTGTGCGTGGTGGTGGATGGATGGGGACAGGGCGGGGGCTCGTTCTCGGCCCCCGGGGCCAGGACTGTAATTTTAAAAGAGTTGCGCATATTCCCTCTGGATAGGCCACCATTGCTGGTTCCGGATGCCAGTAACACAAAAAAATAATAAGTCATCTTACAGGAGACATTCGAATGCTTTTGTGGGGGGAAACATGAGACATCTGGAAATATGAAGTTATTCACGCGAGGTTTGGCTGGCCCTATGGTAATTAATTTCATTATTATAAAGAGGAGTCATTCGGTCGACTTAACGCTGAGAGCCGCTTAATGGGAAGGGCTTAAGGAGGCGTTTTTTCCGGCGCTCGAAACAGCGCCACGAAGCCGCAGCTCTTACTCTCAGGACGGCTTTGCAGGCGCCGAGCGGGGATGAGCTGCCCGGGCTCGGGCGGGCAGAAGGCAGTGCCCGGGCTCAGGGGGGCAGAAGGCAGTGCCCGCGCCCCCCCCTCCCCCCCCAGGAACCGCGGTTTCTGAGAGTGTACGTTCCCGCATTATCCGCGCTGTTTAACGTAGAGGTTGCAAATCGGCTGCTTCGAGCCGCGCGGCTTCCTAGAAGTTGGGTTTGGCTCCCAAGATTGATCTGCAAAATGTCTTGAGCGTGCGAATTGGTTACCAGCCTTTCAAGCTGAGAGCCTGCGTTAAAGCCAGGCTTTCCCGCGTCCTTTGGAAACTCCGGAGCTCTCGCAACCCGGGATCCGTTTTCCAATCGTGCGGCGCAGACGAGACGCGGTGTCCTCTGCGGAGACCCCGGGCTCCGGCCGCGCTCCCTGCTGTTTGTTGTCTCATTTACATTATCTGGCCCCAGTAGGCAGCAGAGCTTGTTTATTTACCTTAAGTCATTCAATCAACACAAATCCGCACGTATTTATTTTGGCTTGATTCTGCAGATGTGTAGAAAACGCTGTACGCACGAAAACAAAACTACTCTCGAGTTGAAACTTAGTTTCGAGTGTGGTAAACACGTTGGGATTGAGAGAACTCTGGAGTTTTTCAGCCCCGGGATGCAGGAAGCGCTGCGGAGATGCTGCCTCCAAAACTGTTATCTGGAACCCGGGATCTGACCACCGCCCCCCCTTTGATAAGGAAGGAACACCACTAACTTTCCGACTGGATAAATTAGTAAACCTCTGATCAAATTGTGCATGCTGAAAGGCAATGCATACTTTCAACAACCACAACAAAAACAGATTATGACATTGTTTACGTACAAGGGGAGTGTCAATCCGGTCCTCTAATATTATCATTATAAAAGGTGGTTGGTCACCTGACACCTACAAACCTGGGGCAAGTTTACTATTTAGAGAATTGCAAATTCAACTTGTTGGAAAGAGAAGGGGGGTGGGCTCCAGAGGTGGGTCTGAATGGGCCATTTATGGAGGACTTTTTAAGATGTTGGACTTTAGACAGTTCACAGACAGTCTCTTCCAACCTCACATCCCTTAAAGGGAATTTGAAGCTGAGTGTGAAAAGGCTCTCTTAACTGTACACTTTTCTGGAATCCCCTATTATCTGTTTTAAAAAACAAAACAAAAAAAAACAGGTGAGAACAACTATTTTTTAAACTACCTCCAGATAACAATCTTCACAGGCCACGTTCAGAACTGAAAGCACAAATCTGGCTATGCTTGTGCTGTCCTTTAAGATGGTAAAAAAAAAAAAAAATTACTAAAAAACGAAATAGCAAATGTGATTAGTAATACAATAGTCATTCGTATACTTCATGCTGAAATGGGATTTGACAGGAAGAAGATAAGAGAGATGAGTAAGGGGAATTTTAAGCAAGCCTGTGAAAATATACGTGGACTGTAAACCTGAGTATGTTTATTCTGATGAAAGGGAACTTGTTTGTGTGTGTTTCCTGTAGAGTCTGTGCATTAACTTGAAATCAGCCTGATGCATTGATCAGTTAAAAATCTCTATTTTAAGACAGACACTGAGGTAGGCTCTGGGGGGACAAGTGCTCCCTCTCCCATGGAAGCTGCATTTAAGAAATCTGCACCTCACAAATTCAACATGCCTAAGACCACCTTGTTAAAATGCACATCTGATGCTGGAGTGCTAGCTGGCCTTGAGGTTCTGCTTCGTAAACAAACTCTGGTAGTGCTGATGCTTTTGGTCTATGGACATCACTTTGAGTAGCAAAGCTAGATACAGGTAAGCCCACAGGCAGGTATAATAAGATGTGCCTCGGGGCCGTGCCAGGGAAATTAAGGCAGACTGCCGGAAGGCAAGCAAGCATCGGGTGTTACAGTGGGGAGGGGAGACCACTAAAGGTTTTAAGCAGGTGGGGGATATGATCAGATTCTAGAAAGTGCACTCTGGCTGCAGTGTGACTAGATGATTAGTTGCGCTGAGACTGGAGACAGTGTGACTAGTGAAGATATTCTCATACAAGGTGGTAGTGTCAGCAAAGTCAGTGTTTCAACCACTGTCTTGATAAAATTTCCCTATTTCCTGACTAGGATAGGACCACATTCTGTTAGAGCAAGACTTGATATTTTTCAACATAAATATAATCGAAATCTCCTATATTAGTTTCCTAGGGCTGCCATAACAGAGTGCCACAAACTGGGTGGTTTAAAACGATAGAAATTTATTCTGGCGGTTCTGGAGGCTGGAAGTCTGAAATCAAGGTGTGGGCAGGGCCACGCTCTCCCTGAGGGCTCCAGGGAAGAAGGCTCCTTTGCCTCTTCTAACTTTGGTGGCTTCCTGCAGTCCTTGGCAATCCTTGATTTATAGATTTATCACTCGGGTGTCTGCCTAGCTGTTCACATGGCCTTCTCCTCTGTGTGTGTGTCCAAATTTCCCTGATCTTATAAGGCCATCAGTTATTGGATTGGGACCCACACCAATCCTGCAAGACCTCATTGTAACTTTACATCTGCAAAGAACCTGTTTCCAAATAAGGTCACATTCACGGGTTGGCAGGAGTGGGGGTGGGAGGAGTTAGGACTTTAACATACCTATTGAGGTACACAATTCAACCCACAACATCTCTGGGTATTAATTGTCTTTTCAAAAAAGTTCTGCGTATACCTTTCATCCTATTTGCAATTTGTACATTTTACAACCAAAGGCTCTTAGTAAACTAGACGAAGAATTTAAGCAGCCAGAAATAAAGGTCCAAAGTAGTATAGATAAGAAATAAGATGACTTCCGAGGGAACAGGTTTAGAACATCTGTCACCCACAGAAAACTGCTTAGTACCCTGCTTAGTTGGAGATTGTGGCATTACCGCCACCCTCCACCCCACCCAGGCTTGCCACTCAAAAGGTCAAAGAAGTTTTCAAAAAATCTTCTGATGGAGCTTGAAAATAAATTTAATTTCCATTAGTGCAACATATAAGCACATTATACAATGTGGGAAACAGGAGACAAAAATTTTAACCTCCCAAAGTTTCTATTCATTTTTTTCTCCCCTGTTTACTAATTATTTTCTGGATTATCACAAATAATGATTATCAAGCATGTTTGAGCTTTTTAACTGCAAAGATTCCAGAAGAGAAATAGGCAGTCATATGGCTCCACACAGCACCAGTTGAACAATGGGAGTAGGTCAGGACTGCCTGAATATTTAAATTAGCTGAACTGTTGATTTTTAACAAGTAAATAAATCCAACTAGGTTAGAGAATTTAATGGAAGAAACTATTAATACTGTTTGTTAGAACATTGTTTATTATGATAAATGATTTTTAGGTAGTTTTTGAATGACTACGAGGAAGGTAATTCGGTCTTGTGTGAAAGTAGCAAGTAATGATTGTCCAAGCATAATCCATGTAAATGCAACCTCTGAATCAATTGATGAGCTTATTACAAATGCAGACCTCACCTTAAACTAATAAATGGAAGTCTGCGGCAATTCTCATATGAACAAGCTTCTAAGGTGATGCTGGTACCCTCATGGAAAGCACTTAAGAAATGATACCTGACCTCAAGTAGCCTTTAGTCTCCTTAAAGAAATAAAATATTGTGCATTAGCAACAAACAATTGAAAATGGATTATAATTTTATGGAATGCTAACACATGGAAATATTTTTATAAGACAGGTAAGTGAAAATAATATGTATTTTATTTGTTTCACCACTTAAACAAATCTGTGTAAAGGAAGGAAAAGGGGAGCTTGTTAATTATCCTTGAAAGTAAAAGAAGCCGCAACCTCCAGGAAAAACTAATAAAAACACCCAATTGGCCCCGTGGCATTTGCCCAGTGGAATGGGAAAGGAGAAGCAGAACTAAAACACGTGGTGTCAGGATCCACGTGAGGCAGAAGGGGCAACGGAAAGACATGGTGAGAGAAGGGAACAGGGAATTAGAAGATCTTTTGAGTGTCTGAAAGACTTGAGTGTTATTACCAGCAAACAGACTTGTTACCCAGCTGTGTGGATAATTGATAGCTGCTGCCTTCCCTGGGAGATGCAGTTTCACTCCTGCGTATAGACTTGGAAATTGATAAAGGCTGAGTTCTAGATAATCATCATTTATGCCTAAAGTAATCCACCAATAGCGCCCAGCACGTGGATTATCACCGATCTAGAGGAACTGTGAACCTTGGGAATGTAGTGGGACAATTCATGTGATACCAACCCCCCGCCTTCTTACTCAAACACCCAGTTCCTTCCTGTTTCTGAGCCTTTGCCCTTACCACTGACTCTGCCTGGATGCTCTCTCTCTGCTCTTTCCATGTCCAGGCACTTTTGACCACTCAGGTCTCAGAACAAATGCTATTTCCTCAGAAAGACCCTCCCTATCTTGCCTAGCATTGCCCCCTCCCCGCAAAGGACTATCTACTCTGAAATCTATTTTATTTAGTTGGCTGACTTCTTTAGTGTTTACTTCCCCTTTTGAAGTCAAAATCCACGTGACCTCAGACGTTATGTTTTCCACTGTTCCCAGTGCCTAGACTCATAGTACTAGGCTCATGGCAAACACTCAACAAATGCAGTATTTGTTGAAGAAACGCCTGGCCGTCATGGAGCATGTTGAGAAGGACCTTCCACTTTAAAAGTTTTCACTTCTCCATCTGGTTGGTGTGGCTCAGTGGATTGTGAGTTGTCCCATGCTCCAAGAGGTCCTGGTTCGATTCCCAGTCAGGGCACATGCCTGGGTTATAGGCTCAATCCCCAGTAGGGGGTCTGCAGGAAGCAGCTGATTGATGTCTCTCTCTCTCTTCCTTCCTCTCTCTCTAAAAAAAAATCAATAACATATTAAAAAAAAGTTTTCACATCCACATACAGCTGAGAAAACTAAAGTCAAAAGAGGTAAGATTATTTTCCTAAATTCAGAGCTAATAAGTAAACAAGTAGCCACTGTAATCCAAATGTCTTACTCTACACCTAATCAGAAGAGATCACAGACACTGAGCATTTAAATTATGCCTCTTTTTCTAAAGAATTTATTAATAATAATAATAATAGCTAACAATTAATACTTATTTTGTAACAGGTACAAAAACTGGAGGTGTATTAGTTATCATGTAACAAATTACCCCAAGTGTAGTGGCTTTAAACAATATTCATGTATTTTCTCAAAGTTTGTATAGGTCAGGAATTCAGAACTTGCTTAGGTTGATGACTATGGCTCACAGTTACAATGTTGGCTAGAAATGCCATCATCTGCAGGCTTGACTGCAACCGCAGGATCATCTTCTTAAATGGCTCACGTATGTGGCTAGCAAGTTGGTGCTCGCTACTGGCGGGCGGTCTCAGTTCCTTCTCATGTGGACCTTTCCTTTCTGCTCGAGTGTCTTATCAACATACATCGCTTCCCCCAGATTCAAGGTGATTCAAGAGCCTATCTTTTTTTTCTATAAAAGTATTTCTCTTTAACAATAAACCTCCGGATTTAAAAGGTTGGAAGCTCAGAGAGAGGCTGTTGTTAACACCCTTAAGAATGATCTCCGTCAAAGCATTTGGTGTCCCTTCTCCTCTTGGCTCTCCTCCTGGGACAGGCCATCTCGTGGTCAACGATTCCTTACGTTCCCTGTACACAATCTCCTGCATTCTCACAGCCATTCTCGCAGATTTTGTCCAGTATCACCCACATTGCAAACTTCAACGTGGAATTTCCCCACATCCACAGACGTGTTCTCAAACTTCAAATTTGTGCGGTTCAACGCCAGACCTCGTGGGGCATCCATGCATCCTGCCGACTTGAAGACTCCACACACAGTGCCATCCCCACCAACCCCTCCAGATGGGCAAGCTGAGACCCAGGTCCACCCCTGCACCCTCGCCCCCCCACCCTTAGGCTCCTTCACAGCCAATTAGTATGAAGCCCCTCTGAGCATCCCTTGACTCCTCATTTCTCTCACTTTCTAGCCATCACGTCCTCTCACCTGGGCCACTGCAGGGGCCCTTGACCTGGCCTTGGCCCTCCACGCCTGTCCCCTTTCATGTATTCTTCAAAGTGCAGCCAGGGTGACTTTCTTTAACGCTAATTTTCCCATGCCCCTTCTTAAAACGTTTCTATCCGTGCTCCACACCTCCTCCAGAGTGATCGGATTTTTATTTTTAAAAGATGTAATTCCTTTGCCGCTTAAAAGGGGTTGGGAGTCTTTGGGTACTCCTTGAGTCAAATCCAATTCGCAAAAGCCACCTGTCAGAGCTGAAGGGGGAGGGGAGAGGTGG